ATATTGGTTGATTTTCTTAATGAGTTCTTAATTAATTTCTTAATTATTGTTTGAAATTTTTTTTAAATTCCTGCCAACTTTCAGTAAAGGAAAATCAAGAGCTAGTGGAATATTGGAGAACTGCGGCATACAAGTTAGAACTGCCACCAAAGCAGATTTCAATATCTGTTTCAATGTTTCTGTTGTGGCTTCAGTTTTATTTCCTCCCATTCAAGCAGTTTTAGTTCCATCTTACAATGTGTATAAATAGGAATTAATGTGGAATTGGTGTAATCTGTTTTTCTGTCTTAATTTTCCCCTGTTCTTGTTTGGATAGGTAAATTTCTGCTTTGTCTGAATTTACCATTTTATCAGTATTGGAGGAGAGTGTATGCTAGCAGTTGAGAATGTGCCCATTAACAAGACTTGTTGGAAATCACCTTCTATTCCTGACAAATCCTGGTCTTTGCATAGCTAAAACTTATTCTTTATTCAAGGAGCTGGCTTTTGTTGCATTGAGAAGCAGGTTTAGGCTTTTTCTTTTTTCAAGTGCAGTCTGTGTTTTTTGAAAAATTGTTACACTTCCTGCAATTTTAACTAAAAGAGTTAGTTCTCTGTCACATTTCAGATTTGAGCTTGCCTAACCATTTAATTGTTTCAGATTCACCTTCAGAATTGTGAAGAAAGGAGTTCTCTTAGTTCCAGTTGCTAAACTAATTGTATGTCACCACCCAGGGTTTCACTATTACTTTGATTTTTCTAACACTCTTCAGGAGTAAAAACTTATTCACTTCTTACCACACATTGTAATATTTATTAGAAGCATTTTTAAGGTGTAGACTTTTTCATCAGTGGGAAAAGGTAATTAAAAAGTGTAAGACTCAAAGAAAGGTGGTGGTTCCTGTAGGTAGGACACATTCTTGGACAAGTAAAAGCTGTCAAGGCTGGGGACTGCAGTGTTACTGTGATTGTTCTCCAGCATTACTTACCTTGCATTTGTTGTGCTGTACACATGCAGCCAAGGGGGACCTGAATAGCTTTCCCTGGTGCTGCTCTAAATTTTGATTGAAGTTTATGCTCTTCTAGTAAAAAAAGCATTCACTGAGACTGAGGATTCAGAGCAAGCACTGAGTTTTCCCTACCAATCTGAAAAAGTATGTTTTGTATGTGTAATGGTGGCTGCAGGAAAAGGAGCAAAATGCCATTACATTGTGTTGACACTCGGCATATAAGCACTTCAGCCTCACCGACAAGGTGCTGTTGTCTCTGGAAAGAATGTGCTGGTTTGGCTTAACCTACAAAGTCTGGACCACGACAGCTGTAAATTGGGATGATGGACTTAGCTGAGTCACTACCAGATGTCTGTGTTATTATTCCCTGGGTGACAATGGCATGCAAGTAATGTGTAAGGATTCTTTCTTACTTACTCTAGAGCTTTGTGATGGGATAATGTTAATTGTTAAAATAAGTTGTTTTTTCAGGCAAGATAATTGAATAAATGCCTGTAGTTTCCATAAATTTGCCTAGTGGAGACTTGGTCTGTGCTTGCAATTATTTTAAAACTTGGCATAACTTCTGGTTTTCAAAACAAAACAAGATGTGAAATATCCACAGATTGCAGAAAACTTCAGTTGCACACTTATGTTTATACCTGACTTCATAGGGTTGAAATGCAAATCCTGATGTTATATATTTCAGTGAAGCTCATACTTTGCTACTTAACTGTCTTTTGATCAATGAAAGGTCTGATCTTACACTATACTATGCTAAAGTATATTGATTGTTGCATCCAGAAACTATATCCATATGGTTTTCTGCCCTTCTGTCTAGGTTAGCCTTAAAACCCCTGTTGCTCTTCTCCTGCTAGATTTCTTAAGGTGAGCTTTCCACCTGAGGCTCAGGGAGCCAGGACCTAATTTACTTCCCACCACAACGGCAAGAGGATACATGGGTGGCAGTGGTGTTGACTGTACATGCTGGTCAGCTAAGGAAATGCATGGTTACTGGATTGTCTTGAGGACTGTTTTTCCAGTTAAGCTTCATTTAAATATGAACAAAATTTACTTTTTTATGAAGAAATTACTCATCTACTGTAATATAATTCCACATGGCAGAGCATAGCTAGTGTGATAGTGTGGGTTTATTTATATTTTGTATAACCAATTCAAATATTTTGACTCTAGCCTTAAGCATTCTCATGTTTGGGAAACTGGGAGAAAAACTTCTCTGAACAGTTCAAGAAAATGTTTGTGCTAATCTGGTAACAAGAAAATTACTGTTCTAGATTATTCCCCCTTAAAGTATTTGTAAGCATAGGAAGCTGCAGGTAGGCTGTAATTTTGTCAATTTGCATGGGTGCTGTTTGATTTTTTTTATATTTTTTTTTTTCTTTAGCTAAAAGGTCATGGGTATGTTGTACTCTCCATTCTCTCTCTGTTAGTCCTCTGGAGAGACAAATTTGATTGCCTATTTTATTAAAATAGTGCAGATAAGTATAAGTTGAAATGAAAGTTTACATTAGGTCAAAATTAATTATTTAAACAGGCACCTTATACTTGGCATTGAAAGGAAAAAATCTGAAAGCAGATGTGTTACTTGGTCCTTAAGTAAACACTGACAGAAGTTTCATCCCTTGGGTCATACAGATCTATTATTTTACTGCCTCTAGGAAGAAAATGTTAGTTTGTTAGTGTCTGTAATAGCAGACTAAGCAAACCTGGGCATCTTACTCTGCTACTGCACTGTAAGATCAGAAGTTTTACTCAGATTCGACCAATCATGAAAGTTTCAGATATTACCAGTTGTTCTGACCTTCGTCTTTAAACTGTTCAGCAGGTTACCTGACTTATCTCAACCAAGGGCAAATCGCCTTAACCACATCGTTAGTGAAAAAAATCCTTGCTAAAGAAGGAAAGGGGGCTAAGCACAAAGCCTTGCAGAGGGAGATTTCCCCTTGTCTTAAATTCTGTAATTCTCACTTTTGCAGTTGTGCTGCCTATGGATCCTCTTCTTTGAGGAGAATGGGTCAGGTGGGGCAAAGCAATATTTAAGTCTGGTAGTTAGTGTTGGGAAAAAGTTTCCTCCTAAAGAGCTTAATTCAGAAAGTATTTTATCTTACTATGTATTTTGGGAGAATTAGGAAGTAAAAAAAGAAATTAGGTGATTTGTTTCTTCACTGAAGTATATAACGTGGTAATACTGTAAAAGAGTATGGTTTTGTTAGTTTCCTATTATCTTAGAAGTAGGGTGAAAATAGAGACCTATTTATTTTTACTTAGCTTCCCCAATAGCCACCATTTTCTAAGATGTCATTATGCTTATCTCTATTGCATGTCAGCTGCTTGTAATTTCCCAAGTGACAGAAGCAGCAGAATAAAACTGGTATGTGGTGGAATTTTTTAACAATTTCACCATTTCACAAAGTCACTGTATTACATGAGTGACAGCAGCTAATGTGTGTCACTCTTTTTGTTAGAGTTGTAGACAGTAACTAAGGCTCTCAAGGTATAATAGAAGGCACAGGAAAATGGTGCTGCACTTCTTCACTTCCTTCATGTAAGAAGGTAGGGCTGCTCTTCGCAGCTACAGAAGCTGTCCTTTTTCAAGAAACACATGGATTTAAGTTTTGTGTAAAAACTAGTGGCTTCAACACCTCTACCCCTCACCCCTGTGTTTTCTAGGGAAAGCTTTTTGACTATGCCTGGTCAGGGATTTATTTGATTCTGCAAAAGCTGGCATCTTTTCTCTCATTCTCTATGGTTCTTGTCAGCCTTTTGGAGAGCTGTCAGTTCTTGTCAGGGCTGTTTGGAACGTATCTGTGAAATGGCTTCAGACACTTAATTTGGTTTTGACTTACACTGGCAATTACTGTTGGTAGTTCAACACCTGCATCAGGAAGATACAAAGATCTACAATGTGCATGGAAGAAGAAAGGCAGCTTGTTGCACCATATTTTACAGATGAACTCTGCTGGCATAGAGTTGTCAAAAAGCACAGCTGAAAAAAGTGCATCTATTTTCTTAATGGTAACCTTAACAGTAAGGTTAAGGTTAACCTGTAACAGTAGCAGCTGAATTAGTTTTACTTGAAAGCCTGTTTAGCGTTCTTTAGTATGAGAGAATGTTTTACTGTATTTGCCAGACTTGCTTCCTGAAGGATAGCTTAACATCAGAAAGTTTTCTTGTGATGAGAAATAATCAAAATGTGGTTTGTTTGGTTTTGGTTTTTTTAATGTTGTGTTTCTAGAAGGCTTTTTTATTAGCTGTCAGGTGATTGAATTAAGAATATTTGCTATTTGTTGAGGTCTAGAACTTAGTTTAAAAAATTTAAATTCTGGATTGGCCAGTTATTGAAGTTAATGTTGAAGTGACCATGTAATTGTAGAATATATTGATTGATGAGAAGTTGTTAAGGTGTTAGGATAAACATAATGTCTTCTCACTTTTAGCTTTTTCCTGTGCATTGCTGTATTTTCCAGGTTACAGTGTTTTGTATTATGCTCTTGTATTTGCTTAATAAAGGATTTATTACCATAGTCATTTGCTATCATGCACGTGTTAGGCCTTTCTATTATGTCATCTTCTCATATTGGGTTCTCTTGATGAAGATCATAACTTTTTACTTCTGAATTCTGCAAATTTAGTTATGAGAAGAAACAATCATCTGTTAGCAATTCTTTTGAAATCAGCAGCCATTCTTTCAAATGGTGAAATGATGTGTTCAGTAGTCCCCGCAGAGCAATAAACTATAAGTGTGTGTTTGGATGTGCAGTAAATTAACTTTCCAGACCAGGAGGTTGCAATTTTCCTACTGTAACCTTCAACATTATAGGGTTGGGGTTTCTTTTTTTGTTGTTGCATTGGGTATTTCGGGGGGATGGCTTTTTCTGCTGGTTTGTTTTTAGATTCAAACCCAGCTTTTTAAGATGACTTTTAAATCTGTTGGCCTTTCAAGCTTTATTTGTAAGTTTTTGAGATGTATTAGGTTCTTTTATGGTTCATTGTTTCCATGTCTCTTCACAGGACCCCAGCTGAATGCACAGCTAGAAGGTTGGCTTTCTCAAGTACAGTCCACAAAAAGACCTGCAAGAGCCATTATTGCACCGTAAGTCTGAAACAGAAGTTCAGTATATCTCATACTTGATTGGTTAAATGCTCTTTTTTTCCCCTGAGTGATTATGAAAACTGATAAAAGCTAATATTTACCTGAAAGAAGTGTTGTGTGGTTTCTAAATAAGTGTTTTGGATATACCATAGAATGGCAGAAATCTGTGCACATTTGGGTGTATGATTAGCTTGCTTTTAGTGATGGACTGCACATGTAATATTTGTTTGTGATCCGGTAAGATGGGTAAGAGCTATATTAATGAGAAAAACAACAAAACCCCTCCAATAACAGGAAAAAAAACAATTCCAAAACAAAATCAACAAAACTCTGGCATCCCTCACACCCCCTAAATAAAATTTAGCAAAGCTTAAAAGCAAAAAGTAATTAAACACTATGCAACTATCCAAAATAGTTTGCTTTCGTTATTTCAGTTTGATTTTGCTTGAGCTCCTTGTCTGCAGCTGAAATAGGGGTCATCTGAACTATTTAGGGGAGAATTGAATTTCCTGAAGATAGCTGACATGTAATGACAAAGTATGTTGTTCATTCCAAGTAAATTATGAGTAGGTAAGAAACACTAGGCAGTGCACCTTAAATATGTTTTTCCTGTGCTAACATAATATTGTCATAATGTTTGAAGTATTCCATAATAGTATTGAGTGTGCAGAAGAAATTGTCCCATATGTGCCTTGGTCTTTCTTGCAGGAATGTCAGGAAAGAAACCTTTCAGCTGCAGATTATGTAGTTTGGTTCTTTTTTCCAGAATTGCTGGGAGTCTTACTGTGTTCTCAACGCATTTTTTTGTTAACCATGCCCTTTTTTTTGCCACCTGTGAAGTGGGATGTGTCTTAATATCTTTGTGGAAGATGGAAGAAGCCTGTAGCAGAGGGAGCATTTCAGCAGGCTCTTTTGACATTATCTGCTAACATACCTTGCCCGTTTGTGAGGTCTTGGTCTCTTGTTTCTCCTCTTACCATGTGTGTTAACACCTTTCTGAGCTCTTTAGAATGATTGGGGTAAGTGATGTCGAGGTAAAATCCCAGGGTCAAGTTGAAGGTAGCTTGCTCCAGGTATCAGTCTGTGGATGAATACAGATGTATCTGAGCATACATACATACAAACACATGTAAAATTGTTCAGTGCTATCAATGGGAACTTTTATCTTCAAACATCCTGCGTACCTCAGGGCTTGCAGCGTGAATCATTCTCAGTGTCATTGTGTAAAGCTGTGGTGTGGGCCTACTGCTGAGTGACCAGGAGCCATTTTTTTGACCTGAGACTCTAGGAACAAATGAATTCGTTAATTTGAAATTAATGCTTTTGGCAGTGTAAAGAGAATTTTCACCCATTTTAATGGTCTTGAAGAGAACGGGCCTTCAGATTTGAAACAACTAGTCAAAATAATTACAGATTGTTTTGGACCACACACAGGAACAGAGGTCAAGAAAGGACCAGGTCAGACTGATGGGAAATGGTGAAGCATGTAGCTCATTCCCTGCAGTAAAAGCTAGCATGCTGCCTTCCACTGCTTTCCATGTGCTCATTCATTCTGTTGCTCAGTTATTCTTCAATGACAGAGCATTTTTATTCTCTCTTTATCTGCTGTGACATGTAGCTCTCTCTTTGCCAAGACCCTCCTACTGTCATATTCAGTTACTGGGGTGTGATTAGAAGAGCTTTCTCCAGTAGTTTGCCACTCTGCATACATCCCTTACAGATAGGGGAAGGTCCTTTGATCTGGGGGTTTCCTGACAGTTCAGTGGTCACTGATAGTTTTTTAACTGGTCGGTAAATGGTCACTGCCAGTTCTTCAATAAATATGTCTTGTGTGATCAATACTGCAGCAGTGCTTTCCTGTTCTTTCAGGAGTTTTGGAACACTCTTAAAATTTATAGTTCACTGGGGACAAAAAATAAATCCTGAGGGATTAACACTGAATATCAACATATTTAAGATCTTAAGCAGTATTTAGATCTTAATGTTTTGTACACTTCGGTTTGCAGCCATGCAGGATATACCTATTGTGGATCTTGTGCAGCCCATGCTTACAAACAAGTGGATCCAAATATCACGTGAGTATTACAGCTTTCTTTACAAAGCCTAAGACCTTGAGGTTGCAATTTTCTGATAAGTGGAATGTTCTTGTGACATTCTTACATCTTGAAGTACTCACATTTTAATTTTGTATTCTTTTTAGCCTTCTTTGCACCACTTCTATTTTAACATTGTAAATGTTCAAATTGGATGTTATAAAAGGGGGAGAAAAGGAATATTGTTTAAATAATCGGTAACTAACTTTTTACAAGGAAGGGATTAAAGATTTTTGCAGTTTATTTCTGGTATTCCACTGCTTTTATAAAAGCCCAAGTTGATTTTGTTGGGTTTTTGGATTTTGGGGGTTTTTTTGGTGGTTTTTTTTTTGTTTATTTGTGGGTTTTTTATTATTGTTGGAAGGTTTTGTTTGTTTTATTAAGCCTGTTAAAATACTTCACCATGATTCTGCGTTGGTTTTTTCAGTGCAGGATTATGGGCTGAATATTGCCAGGATTCCCTTCTGCTGTGGACGAAGTGACCAGTGTGTTTATAGAATATGTAAAGGCAGTGAAAGTTAATTGTTCCAATAATTTTAAATGGACATTTTGTTTCTAGCAAGTTTAAAAAAAGAAAAATCTTAAAAAACCCAACATACTGTTGTAGTCTGTGCCTGCCTCTAAAAATATGAATCCAGTTATTTTTGGGCAAAGGAATATAATTCTTATGTCCTGCTGACTGCAACTTTTCTTTCTTTTATAACAAAAAATTAAAATGTCTCTGGTATTTACTCAAAGTATGTATTTTACAATGCTGAATAAAAACTGGCTACATTTACCAGTTGTTCATAAGATAACATGCTGTAGTACTCTTCAAAGACAATGGTTTTAGTTCTTTCTAAACTATTGCAAATGATGTGAAAATAGCTCATGGTATGACAGACACCTAGTTTCTCTAAAATTTCCGGAACAAGCTGCATTCCCTAGGTTCCCTGATAAGGAGTTGGTTGAACTTGCTGGATCATTTGCTATTTTACTGCATTGGATATTTAGAATTCATCTATGAGGTAAACTTTTGCATATTTGGATTTATTAGCTTTGCGGGAAGTTTGTGCTTTAGTATACCTTGCTGTAACACTCCCTGTGTAAGGGATTAAAAGAAAAAGGCCCTCAGAACTTTACATGTCTCCCATCCCTTTAGTTTAGTGGCAGAAACAAGACAATATAATCTTGAATCTGAAAAGCTGAATTCCTTATTTTTTTCTTTTTCTTTTTCCTTGTAAGTCGTGTGGCAGGAGACCCTTAACATCTAATCAAGAGCCAGGAACTGAGGACTTGATGAAATAATGGTGTCATGATGACATGTAAAAGGTTGCAGTATCAGCTAAATCTATGAATGTGCAGGTCCATGTCTCTGTTGTTGATGCAACAGCAGAAAAAAAGTAACATAACAATGTAAACTCAGCATTTGAGAAGGACTGAAAATTTAATTTAGTGAAGCTGAAGTAAGGCTAATCAAGTAAATAAGTGAAAAACTGAATAGATGATAAACCCATAATTATTTGATCCTGTATTTATTGAAGATGGTGAGTAGCTGAAAGTTGTGTTGATTCAAGGAGAGAGTTCAGAAATCTATTCTAAGTGTCTGTAATGCATCATTCAGCCTCCAAATGAGTGAAGTCAGACAAATTTCTAGCTGATGAGTGCCCTCTGATATATAACCTGCTTAAGAGATTTCAGGCTAGAGCATTATTGAGCTGATCTCATGATAATTCCTGAGATGCCAAGCAAGGATTGATCATGAATTGATCTGGGGTCTTACTGACAACAGAGTAAAACTATTGTAGCCATGAGGAGGTATCACTTTGTATGCTTTTATTAAACTTGTTACCCTAAGCTGAGTTGCTGTACAATTGCAGTTGTCTAAATTGTGGCCTTCTGTGTTAATTGTCGTAGCCGAAAAATTTTCATTCTTGGGCCTTCCCATCACGTGCCCCTCTCCCGATGTGCACTTTCCAGTGTGGACATTTACAGAACACCTCTGTATGATCTTCGAATTGACCAAAAGAGTAAGTGCATTATAAAGCTCGGACTTCACTGAGGTTTGGGTATTGACTGGAGTACTGCAGTACTGTGGACTTCCTTGTTGGGCACTTCCTTGCTTTAAGTGGCATACAAGTGCAAATCCGGTTTGAGTGGAACAAAAACTAACTTCTGAATGATCCTGGTTGCTTAAGACATGGTCACATTATAATCATAGTGTGTCTTTTCCTTCTGGCAAGAATTCTAAATTTTTGCTTATCTTTTCAAGTTTGAGTGTGTGCTTCAGGGTTTTAAAACTAAAAAAAGTGTTACATCAAATAATAACTCACTAAACATCTCCATTCTCCTGTGAAGTGTTCTGGCTGGAAAGAAAGGTTCTTTAGTTGGTTTGAGTTTGATTTCTGGTAGAGGAATAACAGATAAACAAATAAATTGCTTTTATTTGGATTGCAAGTGACTTTTTAACTTGCAAACTTAGAAACTGTTAGTCCATGAAATGCCAGTCTTTTGAACAAAGTGCGGCAAAGACAAAGTTGACGTTTTGTCTTTCATGTGTTTTGAGGTATACCTAAGTGATACAGTATCTTTTCCAGAGGGGCTAATTAGTGCAGATGTGTTATGTTTCATTGAAACTGTGATTAAACAAGCTAATTCAGGCTTTCTACATAGTGCCTGCAGAGATTTCCTTTGGTAAGAAATGTTTGGCTTTTTGTAGAACTCCTTTATGGAGTCAAGAAGGACGCACAGCCCTACATCAAATTCTTCATCCAGTGGAGGATTTTCAAGATGTGGAGATGAATCTGTATACTCTCAAGTATGCTTGAGAGTAGAAAAGATAACTTACAAATGTGGATTACTTAATCAGCTGTGGCTGTCTCTAGATTTCATGATTCAGTCAATAATAAATTCTATTAAATAGTAACAAATCGAGCAATATATCATCTGACAAGTTGGTTTTTTTACCATATAATGGGCAGTTTTTGAAAATAAAAATTCATTGACTGGGCAAATGCATGTATATTTTGAAATGTGTTTTATTTGTTTAATTAGATTTTGTGTCATAACTGAAAATCTTTTTCGATATACTAAAAAGGTCACTCATTTAACACATTTTGTAAATGGAATCAATTATATTTATATTTTAATGGCTTAAACATAATTTTAGTTCTGAATTTATTTAGAAACAAGTGGTTTATGATGATAGCCCTTGGAGGCAAGTAATTTTTTATAGTGGGTATGTTCTGATAAAGGTACACTGTAGCTTGCTTTTTGCACTTGAAATAGTTTTCAAAAATAAGCAATAAAAAAGAAAAAAGTAGTAAAAATCTTTATCTATATGATCTTTAATTCATTTCAGTTTATGGAGAATTGTGGAAGACTGGAATGTTTGAGCGCATGTCCCTACAGACAGATGAAGATGAACACAGTATTGAAATGCATTTGCCTTATACTGCTAAAGCCATGGAAAGGTACTAGGGCTAATTACTTCTGGAAGAACGAACATTATGTGCATTAAATAATTGAGCTGCTGTGAAGCCCAGTAGGAAATAATAATACATTTTATGACATAGAAGACCTTATGATGTATATATCTCATACTCCCCCATCCCCCAAAGAAAATTTTTGTAAGGAGAGACTTGGAGACTAGGATAAGTAGCTGTAGTTGAAACTGTTAGCAGGACAAACACTTAAATTATGAAGTTATAACACTTCTTATAAACAGGTTGACTTAATAGAGTTAATATTAGATATACTGTCATGAATTTTTTTCAGTAGCTGATTTTTTTCCCCCAATTCTCAAGGCATCTCTGGAAAGTTAAAATAGTTTTCTGTGGGATTTGAAGTTTGTTTGGAGTCTTAATACTAATTTTGAAATCAGGAGTGTGTATAGCTGCTGTTTCAGATTGTTTATTTTAAATAAAAATGGTCAATCTGTGTTGGTATTTCTTCCCTAACATCTTTCCCATCCCTTTTTTTTTCAATTTCCATTATTTTTTGAATTTTCCCTAGGGTATCAGTATTTTGGTACTGTGTTGAGCATTTTCATATGTGTTTCATATACTGTGGAGAATTACCCAACATGCAGCATCTATACAGGGAAAATTTAATTCTTACTTCATTGCTGATTTCACTATGTCTTTTCTTTTTGTTTGCCTGGTATTTTTACTTTGCAGCAGAGAGAAATACTGGTTTTGGGGATGTGTGTTTTCTGAAATTGAAGTACTTTGAGGTTCTAAAACAACATCCTAGTATGACCTTACCAAACTACTATCCTCAAATCAGTAGCAACCTTTTAAACAATTCTGCAGTTTCTAATTGCAGTTAGCAAGCCCTGAAAATTCTTCAGATGTTAATTGAATTACAACCTTTTTTCTTTTGCTTGTAAGCCATAAGGATGAGTTTACTATTATTCCTGTGTTGGTCGGAGCACTGAGTGAGTCAAAAGAGCAGGAATTTGGAAAACTCTTCAGTAAATACCTAGCTGATCCTAGTAATCTCTTTGTGGTTTCTTCTGACTTTTGCCATTGGGGTAAGTTTCATATCTCATTAGACATATTTAATATTTCATAGATGTTTTCAAATAATGTATTTTATTAAACGTTGAACGTTTTAACTTTTGGTAAATTTATTTTTGCAACTTAAATGCCTTCGTAAAGTTAAAAAAGTCTTTAAGATCTGGAATAATAGGTAAAAAATATTGATGTGGTAACGTGTTCTCAGCCTAGTGGAGGAAATAAATGGTGAAGGTGTGTGGATTTGTATACATTTCTTTACTGTTGTAATGAAATAATTGTCTGAAGTTACTTGCTCTTTTTACTCTTAAGCACCTCAAAACAACTTTCAAAACTAATTAGCTAAAAATTCATGCCCACATTCTTCTGATAGAAATAAGTTTTGTATGTTTTACTGCTGGGTAAGATAGCAGATGGATTATTTATGCCAATTCACCAGTGCTACCCCAGTTCATCTTGGTGGCAGAGCTGTAAAGACTCCGGAAGTCTTGATTTCTGTCCTGCTTTATAATTTTATTTTTCTTTTAAGTGCGATAGTATCTGGAAAAGGCACTGCTTCAAAAAGATATGACACAACAGACCTTCTTCCTTTTTTTCCATTGTCATCTTTGGTCAATTTAACTAAGTGCATATTTCACTCATCATTGAATTGTGGAGTAGGTGGAAGTGTATATAAGAATGACCTGATCCTGTTGTGGCTAATACCCGTCTAGAACTGCTCATTGAATTATCATGAATTTTTTCTTTTAACCTTCACTTACTGTGGGTATTGCTGTGCAAGCAGAAGTAGCCTGACTCCATGGCTGACTTTGTCAAGAGGGATAGCGAAATGAAATGGTGCTTTACTTCTTAATTTACAGAATTAGATTCTAAGGCAATAAGAGGGAATTAGTGAGTGATACTTCAGTGTCAGTTCTACCTAGTAGATTTCTCTTTAGGAATATAGCCATCCATCATGTATTTTTTTTACTTTACTTCTGGGCTGCTACTTCATGATTGCCCTAGAATTTCCTCAATGGAGCTAAAAAGTATAAAATAAATGAAGATTACTACTTTACAAGCATTATACTTTCAAATATTTAGTAAGTATTAGGGAGTGTTTTAGCTACAATTTTTCCCTTTTTTATTTTATACGTGATTTTTGTTTCAAGGTCAGAGGTTCCGTTACAGTTACTATGATGAATCCCAAGGAGAAATTTATAGATCCATTGAGCACCTAGATAAAATGGTAAGTTTTCAGATTTGGTGGAACTAACTAACAAATTTCTCCTGTACATTCCATTTCTTTGAACACTTGAGAAATTTCTCTAACAAGATATTATAGATCAGCTATTTTATTGAATGTATAATTATCCTTTGTTTACCACAATAAGAATTTAGCTATTGGTTTTAGCTGGTTTCCTCCCTTTTACTGACTGCGCACAATTGTATTGCGGGTATAAACTAGTAAGCATAATTAATGAGAATAAATGCATGTTCACCTACCTAAAATGCTCTAATGTAATGTAATTTCTGTCCACATACCCTCCTATGTTTTTAAAAAGCAATAAAAATTATTCGTGGAGAATTGTGGTAGTTCCAGCTTGATAGCTGTGATACCTGCTTATGGAAGCAGCATTGTGATCATGCAAAGGTTTCAGCAACATCCATTTGGAGAAGGAAAGGATGTAGGGCATTGCACTGGTCAGGAAAATGAAAGCCACCATTTCCATGGGAGTAGCCTTCCCCCTGCCCCTTACTCTGTAGTAGGTGGTGGGGAAAAAGCAGTAGATCATACTTCATTTTGGGTTTGGCCTAAGGCTGAAAGGAATGCTAAATTCATAGAAGTCCAGTGCCAATTGTGTTGCATTTTCTTTGCAGTCACAGGAGCCAAGGATTTATTTTTAAAATAATAAAACCCCTACAACTTAATGTTCAAAACTATACTTAAGGCATAGAATAGAAGTAATTCTTCTGGAAATGTGTAACCTTAAAATTTGTTTTACAAATGTTCGCATCCTTTATGTAACTTCTGTAGAATCTGTTAGAAGAGAGAGCTGTTCTTATTCATGGCATGTTAATTTTTCCCTTGTCTTGAAGAAATAAATACTATCTGCTGGAGAGATCTCTAGACTTTTTTGCTTTGTGTGTACATATTAACCTCTTTGTTTTTCTGCTATTCATCACTGGAATAGTAATAATAACAGTAAATAATTTGCCTTCATTCTGTTTATCCCATTTTTAGTAATTCTTGTAGTCAGTTGAGAGACTTCTCTATCAATAAAAGTGTTTTTCTACAGAATCCTAGAATCATCTGCTTTGAGTGTTTTTGCAGGAGGGTAGATTATGGTGCATTAGCAAGCATTAGTTTCCCCCTGTTAATTTCTGTGGTGAAAGCCTGAAGATGACTTTGGCATTTAATTACTTTTAGGGAATACACTGTTGCACCAACTCTTCCTTTTGGTAGTTATTCAGCTGAATGGAAGTGACAGTTTTTGTAACATGGAAAATCATGTCCACTGTTTCATAATGATGAAAATACCTTTTCAGTCTTAAGTTTAACTGGAAAATGAAACATGCTGTATAGCAGCATACTGTTGTTATTTTTCGCTTGTTTATATCATGCCATATCTGAACACATGATTCCATATTCAGATGCTATATGGAGGAACCCTTGCTTTGGGTGATTTTCAGAGATATCTTGTTAGCAATATCACAAAGGCCTCCCTGTCACATTTTTCCAGTTTTTGGAAGTTTGTTCAATATTATGTCCCACTTGGCTAATTCTTGTTTCCTTAGAGAAGTATTGGATTTTTTCATGTGATTTGATGTGCTAAACAAACCTGTGGTGTTGTAACCAGTATGCCTCTACACAGACAAAATAGTATTTACGTAGAGACAGAACTGTACTAAAACTGGCTTAATTTTATTGGCCCCAACTAGGAAAGCAGTCAGCTGAGCACATTGTAAGGTATTCTGGGGCAAGATGAAATCAATTTTCTTTTGAAATACCTTTGTGGGAGGATGATGGCTTCTTCCTTAATTGAACTGTACCTTACATATAGATGCGTTTTCTCACCTAGTGCATAAAAACTGCTGAACATTTGGGGCATTGAATTTAACAGCCATTAGACTCCAGCATAAAACAAATACAGAGTAGTAAAAATTGCTGGGCAGACATCAATTTCTCCATGGTAATTATTGGATCTCACCCCTGCCACCACAGCGCATTTTGTGATATTATGGCAAAAGGAGGAAATAGCCTCATGGTTAGAAGGGGTACCTTAGGGGTGAATCCTCAAATGAGGAGTTATAACTGAGCAGCTGATGTGCAATAGTTTGTATATCATAACGTGAAACACGCTATCTTTTTACATATAAGTGGGGAAAGTATTTTGTAAGACATTGCTTTAGAATAATTGGTTTTGACTGGCTAGCCAGAAAATGCAGACTGCTCATTTCAGTCTTCACTGCAACAGTGCTCATTTTATATGAGCATATATTTGGCATGGGATACTTTACACCTCACTTGAGTCAATGGGAGGATTGTGTTACCCTGAATGCTGATGGGGGAAAATGCAGTCACTGAGGAATGCTGTGCAGGAATAGCCAGTACTTGTCCAGGAAAAATGCTAGCTCCAGTGGCATCTCAGGTAGCTCTAATGACCTGCTAAATTCTGCAGTGCTGCTGCAGTGTGCCAGGACCTTCCACAGTGCTCCAGCCTGAGAATGCTTCTTTGGCTGGGCATAATGTAAGATTGAGTCTCTGCCTGGATGCCCAGGTCCCTGTTCTCTTATCTGTGGCCAGACAGTAATTTTCCTGGCAGTTGTCATGTAGTCTGAGTGACTCATACATGCAAAGATAGTTGGGCTGGATAGTACTAAGACAAAGTTTGTTTCCACTTCCATTAGAATGCTATTAGCTTAGATCTTTGAGTGTGAAGAAGAAGCTGAAATAATCAATAATAAACTTCAATGTGACCAGCAAAAGCATTATTGGCATATAGTATAAAATGAACCTATAGGAGGGCTTTTTTTTTTGTTTGTTTGTTTTGAGATATGTGCATGGAGTTATTATTTTTTGAAGTTTTTTTGTAGGGTTGTAGAAACTTGATCCTATAAAGGGATGATATTTTAAAATGTAACATTTTAATCATATTACATGCACTGTGCTAGGATATTGTAGATGCCATTAGTAGTATCTGGGTAACTGAGATATGCAATTTCTATGTGATGCCATAATGACTGTGTGATAAACTGTGGAATTATGCTTACACTTTTATCATGTGGGTTTTGTTATGTATTTTAATTCTGTTCTAAGCTCTGCCTGGCTGAGTTGTTTGGAATACTGCAAATTATTAGCCTCATACCTCTGTTTCTTATAAAACACAACTTGGCAGAAATGTTTTTTGTTCCTCAACACCATTTTAGACTGAGGAGCAAGCTTGATAGTCTTTGCTTCTCTGCCACAATGATTTTTAAATCCAAAAGATTGAAAAGTTCAGTTATAGCCTAGTGCTTATAGGACATCTGTTTGTATGAATTCCCTATAGACTTTCTCCAGTGTCTGATGTATGGAACTCTTGTTAGCATTTTCTGGGATGAACTGTATAGCTGTAAATGTTTTGCAGTGCTGAACTGTACATTGAAATAAGCTTACTAGGCATTCTCATAAATCCATGTCCATTCATTTGGGACAAATGCTCAAATGCCTCTGCCCAGTATGTTCCAGTGACTTGCAATTGTAAAATGAGTCTCTCAGTTGAGCAGCCGTTTTCATTTTTTTAGAAGGTCATGAAGAGGTTTTATAAACAGATAAAATATATTCTCATGAACTAAGTATCTGAGTAAGTGCCGTATGCATGTTTAGTTTCACTTGATTATGTAGTCAAGTTTAGTTTTGCTTTCTTTAGCTGTGTATTGACATATATAATCTACAAGTAAATGAATGGTTAAAAGATATGCTTTGGAAACTTTGGAAGTGCAATGGTATCTATGTAACCACTGCTAGTTAGAGAATAGCTACCATTATTTGCTTTGGCACTCATTTAGGCTGTGTAGATGTGGAGTGATTAACAGCTGTAATTACTGGCCAAGGGTCCAAACACCCTCTCCATAACTCCAGAAGAACTGCGCCACCAATTGGCCAGCTTGGTTTTGTTTTTCCATAAAGCATATTTCTTTATTAATTCATCTTATGTCTGTTTCTGTTTAAAAGTGCATAAGGGTAGTGGTTATCATTGCTGTTTTATAATTCTCCCAGCTCTCCTGGGAACCTTCTGCTCCTCCACTGTAGGTTGTGATCCAGCCTGAGTAATTAGTTGATATCTGCCAGATCAGCCAGTGCCCTTGCAGAATGTTCTGGAGATTTCACTCTTGAGGGGGAGACTTCAGACTGACTGCTTCCTGCAATGTGGCTTCTCCTTTTATCACCCAAAAGTAGGGGAAAGAGCTGGGACAAATGCAGAAATCTTAGAAGAAACTATCTCCTTTTCTGGTATCAACCTCCAGTTATTCCTATTCGAAGTATATGTTTTTTTTCTAGACTCTTTTCTGTTTCACCAACAGAAGCAGCATAACTATGTATTTTATTGAGTTAGTGAGTGTCTGGAGCTCATTTCTGTGGTGAAGTGAATTAATAATTTTCAGAGGAAGGGAAAAAGAAGAGGATGGAGTCTAATACAGTCACAAGAGCAAACCTATGATGAAACCAAGATAATAATTCATTGTTTTTAAACTGCTTCCATGGTGTTTGGTCTGCTTTATGGGATGGGTTTAAGAGTAGGCTGTCTCTGGAGTTGAAGGATTCTTTCTGCTTTTAAGAATGCAGATGTTCTATATGTGGAAGGTTTAGTTTTCCACACGTATGCTGGTATTCTTAGCATGACTCCATGGGATCATAGATCTTGCTCTCAATGGAAGAAAGGATGTACACATGTGACTGTCTCATGTAAAGTGGAAGCACCGTCTTCTGGTTCTTACGTTTTTGTTGTGCACCAACTTGATAGTGCTTAGAGATTTTCTGGATCAGATTTTTGTGCTCTGAGCAAATGGCCAGGCCATGCCCAGATCAACTGCCTTACAGGCCTAGTGTGTCCAGGATATATCACACTTGTCATGTGCATGAATTGCATGTGTGTAGTGCTGGTTTTATCTAGGGTTTTTGGACATCCTGAAGTCCCAGACAAGTGCTTGGCCCTGAACTTTGTTACCAGGGAGAGCAGATGGAGGCACAACTTCTTCCTGCTTTGCCCTTTCAGTAAATTTGTCTGGTTACAGCTGTACCAAATCTTACGGAAGTGGGGCAGTCTTGGATGGTGGGGATCAACTAGTCTGCAGGATTTTTAACATGAGCTTCACTGGTATTTGCAAAGATAACTTCATAGATCTGTGGGTATTGACAGCTTTGGAAGAGCTCCTGCACTTTTAGTTTGGCAAGGAATGGAAACAAGATGACTACAAGCTAGAGCTCACATGCTGAGATTCCCTTGATATCCTTGGTACCAAGTAGAGGGTTTTTCCACCTGCTCAATTGTAACAAATAGATGATGGATAAACACCTGCTTGTGAATGTGTAATGTAATTATTGCTATCAATTCTTTTTCAGGGTATGAGCATTATAGAACAGCTAGATCCTGTATCTTTTAGCAATTACTTGAAGAAATACCATAATACAATATGTGGAAGACATCCGATTGGAGTGCTATTAAATGTAAGTAACTTTTTGATTTGTTGAAGAATGTAACTTCTGGAAAAATGCTTGCATTTGTATAAAACAATATAGCTGCAGTATTCCTTGGTTCTAAAATGTCAAGCCTTGAATAAATTAATTTTTTTAAGTGTTCTCAATTTGGTCTCTGATTTTCATGTCTTGCATATAGACAAATGTAAGCTCTTGAAAGGGCTGAGGATTTTGAGTTCCCTAAGGGAGATGAGATACCATATTCCTTTTGAATTTCAATAAAATGCAATCATTCACTTCCTCTTGGCCCTAAATAAATGAACAAATAAATCCATCTCCCTGAAGAAGTATGTACTTGCTCTTTTGAATCAGTACTTATGAACGTGTTTATTTTCTCTATATTGCTATTAGCTAGCTATTGTGAGTGCCTTGTGATGTCTGGCAGTGGTTTTGAGTTTTGCAAATACGGTGAGAGATGGCCTCAGTAAGTATTAGTGCAGAGCACCATTAACTCATAAATTAACAGCAATTAGAATTCAGATTACTTTCTGGTTACCGTATTCTGTTTTGGTGATGCAGTGCAGACATAAATCTGGCTTAACTTACGTGTCTAAATTTGGTCACCGCTGCTTTACAGCACTGGTGGAGTGCTGCAGATTTGTCATATTGCTTGAGTGAATCTCACTGTATTTTTACTGTAATTCAAATCTAAAACAAGGAAGCACGTTAACTTTTTTAAAAGGGAAAACTTAATTCACTGGGAATGTAGTCTGAATGGAGAACATAGAGAGGAAGGTTTTAAAGTATTGTCCATAAAAGTTTGTCTGAGCAATATCAATATTGGGGATGCATGTAGCAAAAGTTCAGTACTATGACTGCTCTGCAAATATACCCATCTCTTACCCTTGGATAATTATTAGTTTTGCAGTGAATCACAGCTAAATTCTGTTCATTCACTTTTGCCAATTGTCACGCTTGAATAAATTATCCTTGTACTTTCTTTTTCCTTAATGGAAGAAATAGAATCTGAAGTGTTAATAGTGCTCAGTTTTCTCCTGTTGTATTTGTGTTTCTATATAAATTCCCCATGGAATTGGAAAAATTGTTTCTAAAGGAGGTATCATGAAAGGTTCAGTGTTGCTTTAGAGAACTGCATGGATGTATGCAGTGCAGTGGGGGAAGCATCATTGAATGAAACAGCACAGAAATGGGATAGGTCCACTAGTTACTGGGAGGTGCTTCTATAATGAGCTTTTAAGAGATGGTGCAAGGACCTTGGAGGCCTAGGAAATGTAATTTTAACTGATACCTTTTCTTAACTCTTTTTCTCTCCTCAGGCTATCAATGAGCTCCAGAAGAATGGAATGAATATGAGCTTCTCATTTTTGAATTACGCTCAGTCAAGCCAGTGTCGAAACTGGCAAGACAGCTCAGTGAGTTATGCAGCTGGAGCACTTATGGTCCACTGAACTGCTGAATGCTCAGGGATGGCACCTGCACACACTCTGTATACGGGGTCCCAGCCTAGCCCTTACAAAGATACAGTCCCTGGTCTTTGGGTATACTGAAACCTCAAACTAATAGAACTCTGTTCTTTTCTAGTAGGTGTAGTCCTTCCTTAGTTTCAACTCATTTAAAAATGCTTTCTTGTTTAGGACAATGGAAGGAAGACTGGTATCAGAGCTTTTTCTGAGAGTTTTTTTTTTCTTTGGAAAAGATAATGGCTATGAAGGCATGGTGGTAGACTGTCCTTAAAAATAGAACATGTAAAGCATTTACCATATCCTAAATTTGCACTCTTTGCAGACCTGTGCACATATACTCAGCTTTCAGAATAGTTTTGCAAGTTGTAAACGGAAAAAGGGGGTGGAAGCTTTTTAATAAAAGAAAAAAAGGAAAACAGCGCATTTATAAATGATTCTGTATTAGAATATAATAAAACTCCAGTATAGTCAGTTACTACCCGTGATGTACAACAGATATCTTCTATTTTAGTTGCTAATAAAGGGCTACACAAACCAAAATAGTCTGATTTAAACTTATTGCTTTGTGTTCTGTATGTGGCTGCTTGTCATTAACATTTTTTTATTCTCAGTTCTTATGCTTGATAATTCAGCCATTCTGTAAAATACTTTAGAATGTATTTTGTATTCAACATTTGTTGACTACATCATTTTTTTTAATCTTAAACCTGCACTATGAGTTCAGCTGAGAAAAAGAATTTGGAAAACTTTTTGTATAGTCTGATCTTTTTTGTTTCATAATTAATCTATGAAGTAGTATCTTTTAGTATGTGATACAATTTTGTATCAGCAATATACTTTTAATGATTTTTATGCTCGTTTTGATTATTCAAGTGAAATATGCAAAGTATTTTTGTTTGAAGCTACTAACAATTGAAAACAAGCAGTAACATGAAAATGATAATTCTTAGAGTATCTGTCTGGCATTCATAGGCCACAGAAGCCATACAGTGCTAATCTCAAGCAATTATTCCTCAAAGATTATTTGGAAGGGGAAGGTAAGGCTTCTCTTTTTTTTTTTCTTCTCTTTTTTTTTTTTTTGTTTTTCATTTTTATTTTTTATTCTTTGACTGTGGGTAGAGTTGTTTCATGTTTGAACATCCCATGTTAAAAGTTCTTGAACTTCCTTGCAGCCAAAATAATGATGTAATTATTTCAGTTGTCATTCCCAAAGACTTCCTTTTGTTCTAATAAGAAATGCAAAGTAGGATGCAATATTGGCTCATTATCTAAATGGAGATTTCATTCCTTGATATTTCACCTGCTATCAAGAAACCTCCTGGTACATTCAGCTTTCCGAAGTGGCAGTGGGCAATTTCAGAATTCAATTTAGATTATCTCTGAAAGTTGTGGTAATTGCTGCATGCAAAGTCTTAGCTGAAAGCATACATATCTTGTTTATTCCTATTAAAATAACTTCTGCTTGCGTCACTTCTATTTACCTTATCACAGTTGGCCACCATTTTAATAATAGCAGGTGAATGCTCCATTTATAAAATGAACTACTTTGCAGATGTTCAAAATCCATCCCAAATGCCAAACTCTTGAGCATGCCTGTTCTTTTAGTTGCCTTACTGCTCTGCCTTGCTCTTGGAAAGTCTCAGCAGTAGACAGGGAAAACAACTTTCACATTACTGTTGACAGACCAGCAAGAAGGCTGTGCAGGTAAAACTGAATTGGTAGGCAGTCTTTGTAAATACTTGTCTGACTGTGCCTTATTAACAAAATAGTTCGATCATGAAGTTTTTTTAAAAAATCTTTGGTGAATACAAGTTTAATTAGGGCTTGAGTTTCTTTCAGTCTTATGCCAAATGATTATCATTATTGAAACATACAGTTAATTGGAACAGTTAAGTATATACCTTTCCCCTAAGGTAAAACATAGAAATTAGCTTCTGAATACGAATGCCCAAGTTGCATCTTAGTTCTGCAAGATAGTTTTAACGAAAAAAGCCCATAACTGGAAGAGCTTTGAGGAAATTGGTTAGCCATTTTGTTCAGCATAATGTTATTAAATATCTTATATTGGAAGCACTTCACATGTAAATTGTACAATGTATTTCAAAATAAAGTTTTTAATTAAAATGGGAATTTCTGTGCCTACTAGTAATAACCAGCAATGACAGTTCAGAAACCCACTCAGAGAGAAATTTTTAAAGCTTTGTGAAACCTGTACTAAATTAAAAAGCCCTTGTAAAAGCTTTTTCTTTTTTTTTTCTTTTTTTTTTAGCAAAAAATACCTGATTTCAAAGAACTTGGAATATTTTTTTTCCCTTTTGGTGGGCTTGGAAGGAGTTGACTTCAGTGCTCTGTTTCTTGGTGTGTTTAAGATGTGTCAGGAGGAAAAGCAGAATCTTCTGAAAAAATCTTCACTCAAGACTATTAATTCATTATAGCTTTACCACACATTTTATTCTCATTTAAATATATGTTTGTATATAGCATGTTGGGACAAAGATTGTCTGGTTTAGATAATACTGAATATTAAGTCCTGCTCACTTTTCTGGAGGTTTCTTCTATGCGTAGAATGCCTGAGCTTTGACTGCTCTTTTGGTGCAGAAAATCCAGTCAGGGACATGATTCCCATTTTAAAATGTTGGCATTTTAGAGAAATGTTCAGTGTGAAAATGTTGATTAAAATACTCCTCTCGTTTTCTGTTCTCATGTTGTTCACAAAGGAGCTTTATGTATTTTGTTTCCCTTAAATACTGCCTAAAAAGTTCTTTTTAAGTACTGTCTACTGGGTTCCTAGTTATTCAGTTCAATTTTTTTGACATTGAAGTGGCACAATAGGTCTTCCACTGCATTGTGTTTAGATTAGCAGAAGTAGGAGGAAGCAGAGGCAGAAACAGTATCATTCTGCAGGGCAGTGAATGGCGCTGGACATTGGGAACCACCTCCTGCTTTGACGCACTCGTGGCATGGAGTGAGTTTGGTGTAGCTGCTCCAGCTCTCAGCCTTTTATTTCAAATTATAATGACAGCTTGGCTGTATATATTTGTTTTAAAGATCACTACTTGAGTGACTTTGATCCAGTGTTCTTATTTAAGCTGGACTACTCCAGTGCAGTTCTCCTTTCTCAGTGCCTTCAGAAATGTTGAGTTTGCCCTCACTTTCTTAGACAGCTCTTGGTCTCACTGGTTCCCATTTAGGGGCTTGTTGCTGTGTCTGAGGAGTCTTGCATATTGCTGTAGGCTTTACTTGGGAATTTTGGATTGACATGTCAAGTAGTGAAATGGGGGAGGGGGAGGAGGGGGACTGTGTTTGACACAGACACAGTCTCACACTACCTCAGCATCTTGTTTCTGTAGCTGTAGGGTTTTTCCATTTCCTGTTTCTAATTTTCCCTTTATTCCCTCAGGAAAAAAAAAAAAAGCTCTTCTCTGCATCAAAGGAAGCTTGGCTCTGAAACTGTTATCATTCACCATGATTTGCAGTAGCTATTTCCTCGGGCTGAGTTGTGTCTGATCCACTCTCAAAAAATTGCCAGAACTATTGTGTTTCCGGAGAAATGTTTAAAATCCTTTTGCCTTCCTACATCAGTGGCAAAACTTCCTGAAAGTTAGCCTGGAAAAGATCTTTAGTGTGACCAAATACAAATTTGGGTGTCCAGTGCAGAGCATGTCAAAGCTGTGAGATGTTTTGCGTTGGGGCCAGATGGCCTTTTCAATAGATGGTTGCAAAACATGACTTGGAATTAGTCTGGGTATTAGTAGGGGTGAAATTACTTTAATCTCTCAGTAATGCACAATTTATTGTCTCTAAAGTTTGTTTTATTTCATTTTTTTTTTCTTACGTGATTTTGCCTAATTCTGCAATTTTGCCTTCTGCTGGAGTCTGAGGCATCTCCTCCCATTGCATATGCCCCAGGAATGCAAATGTTGTGGTACAAATTAAGAAAGCAATTATGTCAGCTTGTTTTCCTGCAGGTTGCAGGAAGGTGTGTTGGTAGAGGCTTGGATCTTTTTGGAGAGGACAGAAGTGAGAAGATGGGGAAGAAAATGGTTGCTTTTCAAGTTTGATGTCAGCAACTGTTCTGCTGTCCTGTTTGGAGGCTGACATGCTGCCAAGCACTGCCCAGTGTGGCTGTCATGCAGGTGCAGTGGTGGGCAACCTGTTACTGCTAATTCAAGGAGATGATATGCTGGAGGTGTCTTGTCAAGCAGAGCTCAGTTTGTTGAAATTCAGGGGTGAGAATCCCATGCTGAAATCTGTAAGTTATAAAGGTAAATAGAGGTATCTCCACCTTTTCACAAAAGTGACAGAGGGACCTCCGTAACCCCCAGGTTCTTGGTGGATTTAAGAGAAGGTAATTTAAATAATTTTCTCAGTCCTGTGATCTTGATTGATATAAAAACGTATTCCCTATAAACACTTCTACATACCTTTTTCAGAGCTTGTGGACCCCAAGTTATTTTATTATTAATGTCATACAAAAATATAATCTAATTCTAGTAGTTGCCTTTAAATCTCATTAAAAAAATTAGCCAGGGCCTCAAATTCTGCAGTGAGTGAAGCCAGTAATGAAACTTCAGATTTGAGTGATCTAAAGTTTGCTCTGTATGACAAAGACCTAAATGACAGAAAGAATAAAACATTGTGTCAAACATCAAACGAAGAAATCTACAAACCTGAACTTATCAGATTTCCTTTTTATCTAGTGAGGTTTTAAAAACTGAGAAATTACTTTCCTGCTCCCTGTGACTATAACTTCACAAGACTTGAAAACTGCAGTGCTTTTGGATGAAGTCCCTTTTCTGGTAAAAGATGTTTATTTTTCTGCTGAACTCTTGCAGCAGAAAGTTGAGTGTTGACATCTTAGTGCCTGGGCTGCAGAGGCTTGTCTGGGCTCCTGATCTGTGTGGACAGGTAGGGAAAGCCATCCACTGGGATTTGTCGGCTGAGACTTAAACTACTTTTCATTTGTCTCCAGAATTGCTATAAAGGTTTTGAAGAATGAGCCTTTAAGCTCAGCTATGATTAATAAGTGTTGAACCCATGCATGTTTTTTGCTGGTAAAATTTATTTCTTTGTGATCACAGTCCAGAGAGCTGCTGTTACAAATAACCTGTCAGGAAGATACCTGCTGTAAATGGGTGGTTGGAAATGCGGTCTGGCCTCACAACTGCTATCAGCAAGAAAGCACATTTCTGCACTGCAAGGAATGGTTTTCTGTTTGCAGAGCCGCAATGTAACCAAACGCTGTTTTCAAGCTGTTCTGAAATAAACTGACTTGGTAGTTGATTGTAAGCGCATAGCTCTGGAACGGGTTCAGCGCTGCATCCATCAGATGGGCAGCAGGGCAGCGGGATGCGTTACTGACAAGTGCCCCACATATTTCCAAGCCAACTTCAAAGCACTGGGCTGACGAGGGAAAACGATTACATTTAAGTGGAAAACTTAAAGTGGCATGTTGTGGCAGGTGTAAATCTACTTTATGGAGCCTACACGAGTAGTCTCATATTCATTTAAAGGAAAAAAATTAATCCAAACCGCGGACC